CCTGAACATGTTTTATGCTCGACTATAAATTTTTCATTCAGTTTTTCTCACTGAATTTTTTCTGAAATATTTCCTGTTAACCTCATTTCCTCCCACTCTGCATATCCAATATGATATACTAACGCCAGTTCAGACACCCTAGAAAAGAATTCAAGATTTTTCCTTTCGGAATCTCAGGCTTCTCTTTCTCTATTTACTTTACAAACTTTCCCATTTTTAATACTTTCACCATACTTTTTCCCCCTTAAAAGAAGAATTGCTTGAAATATACCTTGTTCTTCCACATAAATAGCCCCTATTTCATTTAATTTTAGTTGTTTACTTATTTCTGACTGTCTTGCTTCAAAAGAAGTTGAAGTAATTAATTTGTGGGAACTAAACACATTCTTTAACATAAGCACTGTGTAGTGGCATTGCAAATCTGATATTCATAGCAGAGTTGTGTTGGGATTTTTTCAAACCTGTTTCTCCTTTCAGTCCTGAAGGAATTTGTTAACTTTCTTTCTCACGGTAATCATCCTTGAAGAAACAAAGAAAAAAAGAATCAAGACTTTAAGACAAGCTAATCTTTTGTAGAATCAGATCAGATACTTCCCTCCCTTTAGGAAATAACCACTAAGAACACCTTTTTACTGGGCTCTCATCAGATGGAAATGTAGTAGGGAGCCTGTGTCCTAAAGATCATGAAACTATGTAGAAGACACCTAGCAATCACTCCCTATTTTACAGATGTGGAAACTGAGGCTCAGAGAATTATAGATATTTGTCTGCAGTCACAGAAATACTTAGAGACACATTCAGAATTTAGCTTAGGAAGGACTCCCCTGACGGTCCAGGGGTTAAGATTCTGTGGTCCCAATGCAGGGGGCATGGGTTCGATCCCTGGTCGGGGAACTAAGATCCCACATGCCTTGGGGTGAGGCAAAAACAAAAACAAAAACAAAAACAAAAAACTATCCCACATATATTAAAAGGATAAAAAATGAATAAAAAAAAGAATTTCGTTTAGGAGACAAGACATCTAAAAAGTCACTAAATAAGGTAGTAAAGAGCATGAAATAATGAATGATCTGGTTGTTCTGGGCAGTGGTGAGCTGGTAAGTGTTTAACTGCTGAGGGCAGGGGTGGGCAGGGGCAGCCCTGATTTCATGGTGCCCACGACCAGTTTCAAACTGAATTCATTCAGTTTGAATTCATTGAATTCATTCAAACCTGAATCCATTGAACAAGGAGTTGGGAACAGATTTATACAATCTAGCTGGCTGTCAAGAGTAACAGAGATCTTCTGGCTGGAGCGGGGAGCAGGTCTCTGAGGAAGAGAACTAAGCTAGACCAGTTCTCTCCACACGTGAAGGAACATCCTTGGTCTTTCCATGGGGCAGCTGCAGGACTCTGCAACTTTGCTCTTGCCTCAACAGATAAACCACTCTTCACCTACTGAGCTATCACTTCCATTTCAAGGCCTAGCTTAAAAAAGGGTCCCAGTCAAGCTTTTCCCTGACCCTTTCAGAAATAGTCACTTCTACTCTGAATCCGAGTAATTTTTTAGACCTTTTATTAGGGTAATTACCAAAGCCTGACTTGATATTACTGTCAATAGACAGTGTCTTTCCCCAGGGGACTGTCCTTGGAGGACAGGGACCGTGTCTTACTCCTTCATTATTATCCGAGAAGCAATGCAGGATGGTGGGTGGGAGCCCAAGCTCTGGAGCCAGACTGGTCAGCTTCAGATCTGAGACACTGTGCTCGCTTACCTTGAGACCGTGAGCAAGTCATCAGACCCCTCTGTTCACACCTGCAAAGTGAGACAATAGCAGCCTGCATCTCACAAGCTCACTCTGACGATGCATGAGATTCCTGGATGTGTTTGGTGCTTAGCACATACTAAGCCCTTAGTAAATGTTGCCTGGTATTGTTTTCTCTAGCACACAGCCCAGCGCCTGGCACAGAACTGATGTGCAGTTGATGTTGGTTGCATTCCGTCGAAGTGAAGCAAGGATGTGATCCAGCTATCTTGACAGGAAGTTAAGAAAGAGTGCTGGAGGAGACCTCATGGAACAGATTATTGCTGGGGAAATGAGGATGAGATAGTAAATAAAAATCAGTTGATCATAGGATTATAGGACCAGAACCAAGCTTTCCAGCTGTGGTATGATGAGCACAGAGCAGGGTGGGATCATGCATACCCTCCCCTCCCTCAGTGAGCTGGACGCCGTAAGTTTGTAAATATACCATTTGTCATTGCAATCGCTTGTGTAGACTGCTGTTCCTTGAAATATCTCCTTTTCAGTATTGTGCAGTTGCTTTTAAAAAATCTAAGTGCTAGACGTTACGTATAAATGCTGTTGAATTTTATTCCATTTCGTTCAGTCCATTATTCCAGTGAATTCATATGGCCTCCAGCCTTGACTCTGCACTGCAGTGTATCTTCTATCCTTTCTAGTTTGGGTTACCTGCAGTTTGGTGAGCATGACTTCTGTTTTGTTTTCTGAAGCACTACACAGGCCACTTCTAAAAACAGCGTCCTCCGACATGGCACTAGAGACCTTTTTCTGTGTTGGCATTAATTCGTTAAACAATCTTTTTTTTTTTTTTTGGATATGGATTTTAGACTCCTTTCAAATCCATCCAGTATACAAGGATCTATATTATATCCCCTCTTGTTCACAAGTTTCATGAAAAAACTTTGCCAACATGCTATGTGTGCAGCATTTTTGTTTCACAGATACAGTGAGACTATCAGAAAAGAAAATACAGCCAGCTTGTTGAAACCTGTTCCTGATTAACCTATGTTAACTTCCAAAACCGACAACCTCCTTTTCCGACTTTAATAAAGGCTGCATGTTTCAAAATAGTGAAGTTAACTGTATCAAGGTAGATGAGGCTCAATGCACAAATCTTGACCATCTAGGTGAGAAGTTTGGACACAGTCCTGAGGGTGGTGGGAAGTTGTTGAAATTTTTGAATAGAAATTATACGATGAAATGATGTTTTAAGAAGAGCCATCTGGCATCAGTGTTCACGGTGGACTCTAGGGGAAACCTTATGCGAAGTTTGCAGTTGCCTGCAGTAATCCCAAGATGGGCTGCTGGACGACTGGGCTAAGCTAGTAGCAGTAAAGATGGAAGAGCATACATTTGGGTTAAAGAAAAACACTCAGAGAGACTACTGGGGGAAGATGATAGCAGTGAAAAAAATAAAAATAGGTACCTTAGGGCTTCCCAATCCTTTTCACATAAGGGAACATACAGAAAATATCAGTTTGGCCACTGAGGTAACTAGGGCCGCTTGGAGATGGACACGACCCAATGTCATGGGCTCCCACGGCTGGATCTTCCCTTCCCCAAGCCCCACCTCCCCCAAATCACAGGCAGAAGATATTAAGATCTCCACATGGCTGGGAAGCTATTTGGACATTTTTGTTTTAGAAATGAGTAGTCTTAGTAATATGAAGAAAAATAGACTTGTACCAAAATCAGGACCAACAGTACGGAGGAGACTATACATGTAAAGGGAAGCAAATGTTTGCTTCAGTGCATAATTCCGAACACAGAAGTGACATATGGCTACACACTTGGAAGAAAACTAGCATCAGGGTTAATGCCAAACCAAAGAGCACAGGCCACCAAGCCACTGCCCGTGTTATAGTGACGTGCGAGAACAGAGGCGGTGGCTGTACAGGCCTAATTTGGGCATGAAAGTAGGCAACACCTACCAGACATGTTGGGGGGAGGTATAAACCACACCAGGGGAGGCACTAGGTAGAGACTTAGGTGTAGACGAAAGCAGTAGCAAAGGAGTGAACTTTGGTTTTGTATTAATACGGAAATCGAAGCCACTTGCTTGAAGATTTATGACATACTGCCCATTTGTTGCTCCTTGTTGGTTTTCGTAGTTCATAAATTAAGTCGTTTCGTAGTCCTGGTGCCTCACCTGTGCTACTAATTTGTTTTGCTGCATAGAGGAGAGAACATGCAGCAACTTGCCATCTATAATTCCTGGTGATAACTGAAGATGTTTGGTTATAGAAAGTTAAAAAGCGTTCCCTCTTTCTTCAATAAACTCAGTGGCAGAGTGAGAGCAAGAACCTACCAACAAGGCGTGCAGATTCTATTATAAAAACAGGAACGAAGGGCTCTTTTAAAAAACAATGGAACCCACACATTTCTCCCGATGATTGGCAGCAGGGCCACCATGTGCATGATGCCAGGGGCACCCGCCTTTCACACTGGAGTCCGTGAAGTGGAGGCACACGGCCCATGTGGCCACGTGTGGCAGCTCACAGAGAGACCTATCTGATCCCCCCCCCCCGGGGCGCCCACCCAGCCCAGCAGGTGCGTATCCACGCTGACCTGTGACGTCCATCACCCCCTCGACCACACTCCCTTCCCCAGCCAAGCTGTGCTGTACTCTTTCATCCTGACTCACCATTTTATTCCAATTCAGATCCACCCAGTCCTCCTTGTGGCTTCCCACTAGACCTCTGGCACAAGCCAAAGCACATCCTTCTGGCTCACTTGCTCCAGTCACTCTGTTGACCTTTCCAAAGCTATTTGCTGCTCTCACCGTCCTGCTCTTTGTTACAGCTGAGGAGAAAACACCAATAGGCACTCAAGGCAGGAGGCTCTGGCCTCCTCCCAGCACTGGGACAGGCTTCAGTTTTAGCACTTATCACACGGTGCTGTAAACATTTGCTTACATTTCTGACTCCTTCACTCAGCGTGAACCTGACAAAGGGCAGAAAGATGCTTCTTTACGCCACGAGGTTTAGCAGAGTGCCGGGCACGTGTTTGGTCAGTGGGCGGGTAGATGAAGAGCCTGCCTTTCTTAGATTTGGACGCAGTAAGTCTCATCCTGAGCATGTGGTCTAAGGAGGATTCGTCTCTGTTGTGGACAATGCCTGCATCTTTGGACTTCGTTTAACAGCTTCCCGGGGGAGGCCAGGAGAAGCAGCTCTGTCTCCGTCAGTGGTTTCTGAGTCCTTGTTTATCCCTGTGCAGGTGGGCAAGTGGAAAGACAAGTCTCTGCAGATGAAGTACTACGTGTGGCCCCGAATGTGTCCTGAGACGGAAGAGCAGGAAGATGACCATCTGAGCATCGTAACGCTGGAGGAGGCCCCGTTCGTCATTGTGGAAAGCGTGGACCCCCTGAGTGGAACTTGCATGAGGAACACGGTGCCCTGTCAGAAGCGCATCATCTCTGAGTACGTGGCCTGGGAAAGTCAGATTTGCCCCAGCTGTCAGCACCCGGCTGGGGTCCGAGGCACAGAATGAATTGGACACCATGTCTGAATTTCGTTACTGTTGAGCAGTGGAGTTTCTGGCAGCCCTGTGGTCTGGCATCTGGGTCTGTCCAGATCATGACCCGGGAGAATTACTGCTATGTTATCATTTCTGGGGCCTTGCGAGGTCTCAGTGACCGGGACCTCAAGTTCGTGGAGATTTAAGTTTACATTGGTGTTGAAAGATGTTTTCTGAGGCCAGCATGTCTTTAGAACCATTTTTGGAAATAGATAATATTAATCTATGCTGATAGAAGTCAGGATAATGGTTCTTTTCGGTGAGGGTGGGAAGGGCCTGCAAGGGAGAACAAGAGGCCTCTAAGGTGCTGGTAACTCTTCTGTATTTGAATTTGGGTTCTGGTTAAATGGGTGGGTTCAGTGTATGAAAATTCATCCAGCTGAACCCTTAGGATATGTGCACTTTCCTGATATATGTTATACTTCCAAGGAGCATTTAAAAGTATGAGAAAACATGGTCCAGTATGATGAGGTAATGAGATTATGGCAGTTCTGTGGTCTGATTTATGTCCTCACCCGGGCCTGACATAACTTGTGCTGAGCTGTGAAGGAGGGCCTGCTTTGTGGTTGGCAAGGGTAATATTTTGCCTCTTGTATAAAAGCCTTGTTTTTGTTTTTTGTTTCTTTACCTGGTTAGAAATAAAACAGATGAGGAGCCAGGTTACATCAAAAAATGCTGCAAGGGCTTCTGTATTGACATCCTTAAGAAAATTTCTAAATCTGTGAAGTTCACCTATGATCTTTATCTGGTGACCAATGGCAAGCATGGGAAGAAAATCAATGGAACCTGGAATGGTATGATTGGAGAGGTACGTGTCAGGAATTAAGGGCCATTTCCGTGTTTCATTTAAATATTTTTAAAACGCTCATTTTATAAATTTTAGAAAATATAAAATAGTACAGCTGACTCTTGAACAACATGGGTTTGAACTATGTGGTCCATTTGTGAGCAGATTTTTCTCAGTAAATATATGGTCGGCCCTCCTTACCTGTGGGTTTTGCATCTGTGGATTCAGCCAACCGTGGATCCTGTACTGTGTCTACAGTCTTCAGTTGGTGGAATCTGCGGATAAGAAGGGCTGACTTTGGGACTTAAGCGTCCTCAGGCGTTGGTGTCCACGGTGGGTCCAGGAACCAATACCGAGGGAAGATACCGAAGGAAGGCTATAAATGAAATGTACTGCTCCCACCCTACAAAGGAAAGCACTGTAGAGCCCCAAATATTTTCTGCATGGTGGCCCATTGCCTTCTTGGATGCCCTAACTGGAGCCTTGCGTTTTTCTCCCCAGGTGGTCATGAAGAGGGCCTACATGGCAGTGGGGTCGCTGACCATCAACGAGGAGCGATCGGAGGTGGTCGACTTCTCCGTGCCCTTCATAGAGACTGGCATCAGTGTCATGGTGTCACGCAGCAATGGGACCGTCTCACCTTCTGCCTTCTTAGGTGAGCGATGGGCTTGCAGGCGTGAAGGACATGGACCCAGGGACAAGTAGAGGGAATGAGGAACAGGTGCAGGAGCTGATTTTCCAGGAGCTTCCCTCAGCCAGGGATTTCATTTTGGGGAACCTCAGAATTGATCGTTCTCCAACACGAAAACTGAAGAATACCCTCAAAAATAGGAAGGCACGGTACCCGGTAAGAAAACAGTACAGGACCGGTAACCAGGGGTCCTACTTGAGTCTCACTCCTGCATTTGACCTTGAACAAACTTGCTCCATCCTGGGATCCAGTCTCGTCATCCACAGAAGAAGGCATTTCGACTAGCTGATCTCTGAAGCTGCTTCCTGCTTTAATGATGTGCAATTCTGGATATCATTCAAATACCTGTTTGTTTCAAATTAGCTTCAAGAGCGGAGCTCAGTGCTACCAAAAACAAAAGTTTTTCTGTTTTCACGTGAATTTTTGGAGGCTTTTCCAGATAAAGCTGCTCCGATTCTCCCGCCCACCGACCCCATCCTTCCCCATAGAACCTGTACCTCGCTCTCCAGCATTACTTATGTGTCAACGCCTTCCGTATGATATAAGACTGGGTGAGACGAGGCCAAGATTTCAATTAGATGAGGTCTTTTGTGAGCTCATACCCCATATTTTTGGCAGGGGCTGTGAGAGCAAAGCGATTGGAAAATAAAATGTCACCTTGAAAACAGGCCACTGGGCTAGGAGATAGGAAGCTGGTTTGGTCATAAACAAGCTGAAAGCCCTTGGACCAGTCACAGTCTCTCTAAAGGATACCAACACTTTTTTTTTATTGAACACTTGCTATGTGAAGGCCCAGGCATCGTTGTACAAACTTTGATTATATTACTTCATTGACACTACTATAATACCCAGTTTATGGCTTAGGAAACTGAATCCTAGGTTATGCAATTTTCCAACCGTCTCTCAGCTAGTAAGGAGCAGATCCAGGATTAAAGCCCAGATGTGGCTGCCCTTGCAGCCTGTGTTTTAGTACACATGGGGGCATTTCAGAGCTCGACTCCTAAAATCGGGAAACAGTGCAGTGGGCCGAGACTAAGATGTGATATAAAATGGAAAAGCACAGACTTTTGCCTTCAGAGGCCCTCTGTTCATAACCTGGCTCTGCCACCTCCTGAGTATGAACTTACAAAGGGCTGGGACCTCTTAAGTCTTAGTTTACTGCTCTGTAAAATAGATATAATCATCCATAATGAAAGGGCCATTAAAGGATAGTAGAAACTATGTGGTGAAAGTACTTTCTAAACTATATAGACCAACACAAATATTTTTTTGTATTTTGTGTACCAAAAGTTGCTCTGGGCTTAATGGGGGGAAAGAAAGCATAGAGACAGTGCTTTTACTCAGTTGTTTCCTAATCTTGGACAAACTGGGACCAGAGCAGGATTTCAATCAATCAGACCCAAGGAGGAGAGGGTCTCTATTCCACCGTACAGAGGCTTTGAGTTGTACCTTCCACCTTCACATCTCTGGCTGCCACCGAAAGGTTTTGCATTTCTGTGCATTTCACAGTCAGTGTGTGCCATATCAAGGTCCCTGTTAAATTAATTAAGTGACCAGGCTTTTATAATTCCCTTGGGAGTTCAAAAGTAAAGTAGGTTTCAAAATAAGGAAATATTTTCTAATTTTCAGCCCATTTCCCTCCCTTTTCAGTTTCATCTTTATTAATGATTTGGAAGGTGGAGGAAACAGCATGTTAATTCACTTAGTTCTGAATTTACAGTGCGATGTGACAGCTAAAAAGGCCAGGCTATTTTGAGGCACAATTGAGGAAGCATTGTATTATGGGACCGAAGAGTGATTGTCTCTTTTTACAGGCCTCCAGAGAGAGGGCTCCTGGAATTCAGTATTCAATTTCTAGACACGTCTGAGCCAGAGAGATTTAGATCAACTGGAAGAGAGTCAGCAAAAATGATTTTAGAAAGTTAAAGAAAGCATATGTAGAACATTCTTACTCTCTTGCCTGTTCTTGTCCCGTCAACCTTGTCACCTGGAAATAGGGACTAGATTGAGGTTGTTTTGTTGATTATCATGTCCCCTTGTCATTTGCTAAATTCCCAGTGTTGTAGACACTGATACTTAATGTGGATGGATTTTTTTTTTTACCATTGACGTATTCTCCTACACTAATGATGTCTAATAAAATATACCACGTCAAACCAGGTTGAAAAAGCAAATCTAGGCTGGAAAGTTTAAGAGAAGTGAAGCAAGGGGGCAAGGGAGTTATTCATTGTGCCTAATTATTACTGAACCAATTCAAGCCACAAAGAGTAACCAAGTTTGTTGAGAATGAACTTGGCCTCAAGGCTCGGAAGCATTGGCGAAAACTTTTCCAGGTCCAGCTGTGGGGTATGGCATATAGATAGGAGTGCAAACCAAGAGCCAGTCCAACACGACTCACTTATCCATGTCTAGTACTTATTCTAGTTCCACTGTTTTCCAAAAGACCCAGATATTGGTCCAGTCATGGCAGAAACCATCTGTACAGTCTCAGAAAGGACGGGCAAGAGGCCATCCTTCTCATATGTTTGAACGAAAACAAGCCTCGACACGCCCATCGGGGGGGGGGGAGACGCTCAGACACAGCCTCTTACTCCTTCCTCCCTAAGCCAGGCCCTGGCTTTCTGAAGGGACGCACACACCTTTGGCTTGTTTCCCCAAAGATAGGAGTCGCGCGAGTGAATGAACACGCGAGTCAATCGGGACCTGTTTGTTCTCTGCGTTAACCCTGAGCGCCGATGTTTTGCTTCCCCAGAGCCCTTCAGCGCCGACGTGTGGGTCATGATGTTCGTGATGTTACTCATCGTCTCCGCCGTGGCCGTCTTCGTCTTCGAGTACTTTAGCCCTGTGGGTTACAACAGGTGCCTCGCCGATGGCAGAGGTAAGGCCAGCTGTACACGTTGCCTTTCTGCCTTTCTCTAGTTCTCAGCTCGGAATCTCTGTGCCCCTCATCTGCTGCCTGCCTCCGCCCTAACCCTCAGTCTTCAAGGTCACCACCTTGGTGACTCGTTAGAAAGACCCCAATTAAGGGTTTCTAATCAGTGCTATGGTTTTTCATTTTACCTTGGTGTTCAGAAAATATTAATTGCTAAATGTACAGTGACAATTGGGATTACCATTGTTCTTTAACTTGAGAAGTAAGTAGAAGACTAATTCACATGAAAGTAATATACCTTAAAAATAGTGACGGAGGGCTTCCCTGGTGGCGCAGTGGTTGAGAGTCCGCCTGCCGATGCAGGGGACGCGGGTTCGTGCCCCGGTCCGGGAAGACCCCACATGCCGCGGAGCGGCTGGCCCCGTGAGCCGTGGCCGCTGAGCCTGCGCGTCCGGAGCCTGTGCTCCGCAACGGGAGAGGCCGCAACAGTGAGAGGCCCACGTACCACTAAGAAAAAAAAAAATAGTGACGGATACACTTGTAACATTCTACTCATCTGTTCACTTGGAAAGAGTGGAGCTTTATCCTGACTTTTAAAGTTTATTGTGGAATTTATGAAAGATTTGCAAATGCATTAGATAAAACTAAAAATAATCACCCGTAAGTTTATCAGCAAGAAATAATGTCTGTTAATATATTGGTATATATACTTCTAGTCTTTTAAGTTTTATGTACATGTAGCCATTCTATTAAGTAGCCCAAACTTAGTAGAGCAAGAATGTGAAAACTTTTATCTTTCTTCTATTATTACCTAGACTATGTGACTGAACCCCTTAACAAAAACTTGTGTAGATTCCAAAACTTTCTGATCATTTCCCATTATTAAAGCAAATAAACAACAAGAAGCAAACACACACACACAAAGACCCCAATTTAGATGTTAGTTTGAATCTGTATGTCCCCTCCCTGCCTCAAGCCTGACCCCAAGCCCAGTTCCACCCCTAAGCAAGTGAGATCAAAGCTGGCAGCAGAAACGTGTAACATAAACATGTCAGAGGAAACTCTTTTGATAACCTTAGGCTACGAGCAGTCTGTCCGATCAGATGTGCTAACAAGGCAGATTAGACACATGTATCAAGAGTAAGAAAAAACAGGTTACCCCAGGGTACATGCAGGGTAGTTGTGGCTGAAACAGCTCTCCACAGCCAAAGGATAACCTCTGAGGTACAAGATCCCCAAAACATGTGTCTCCGGCTTACATCTCTCTGCCAGGAGGTAGAGGAGTTGGGTATTTGAAATAAAATGGCTGGGAGATGGCTACTCTTGGGGGTGGTCCATCTTCCTGGCTAGGAAGGTCCAGAGATGTGAGGGCTACCCATGTGTTTGAGGCATTTATGAGACTTCACAAAAAGTTTACTAGATTTCTGAAGGGGGCCAAGGTGTCCTTATAGATATCTCTTCTAAAACTTCCTGAGAGCACCAGGATTAGGAAATATTATGCCTCCTCTGCGTCTTCTCCCATCCACCATGTGAGCTCTATCCTGGAATTATGCGTCAAAGAGGAAAGATTCTTAACCCCAGCTACACATAAGAATTACCTATGGGGCACTTAAAAGACAAAGATGCATAGACCTCATATTCTAATATTCTGATTCACTAAGTCCAGAGCGGGACTTGAACCATTGTATGTTTCAAAATAGTGGTTCTCTACCTTGGCTGCATGTTACAATAACCACCGCACCTCACCCCAGTTTAGTAAGAATCTCTGGGGATGGTGTGTCAGTATTTTGTCAAAGCTCCCCTTGTGCTTCCGTTGAATTCACGTCCAGGCTATGAGCCACCCCTGCACTGAGGTATTTCCAGGTGTAGACCTACCTTCTCGTTTGGGGTGTGCCTTCTGGGGTGGACACTTGGATGCCTCCACAATGCGGAATAGTCAGGGGCTTCCTGCCTGTGCCAAAGGGTCATCCAAAAGCCATGACTACTCCCCACCCCGGTGGGCGTTAGTAACAAGAGAGACATCCGAGAAGCTCAAGAGTACACACACATGCTGACAATGTCAAGAGCCAAAGCTAGTGTTCGCCCTCCCCGACCCCGCAAAGAAAATCAAAGAGGCAAAAATTCAGACACAAAAATCAGAGCCAGGGCTTACGATTACTCACTTTACCGAAGGATGCTTGACTTCGCCAGAGAATTCAACATGGGGCCGCTTTAACTATCAAGTCTCCTTGGGGCATTTTACAACGCACAAAACTTTGATTTATAAACAGTTTTTTAGTTATGCACCTGTTCCAAGAAATAAGGTCCACTCGCACAGATGCGTGTGCACAGTTAGAACTTAGGCTCGACATGTGTAGTCACTGATGATTTAGGTGGCTGAGCAGATGCTCTCAGGACCACAGATAGCATCGAAACACCTGTGCTGATGTGCTGTGAAACTGTGCAGGCAGGTGCTCGTTTCTGCAGCGGAGGGGCTGCATGCAGGCCCAGACAGCAGGCAAGATTTCACCATCGCCAAGCAGAGAAAGCAGAGAGGCCACAATAAATACGTGTGCAGAAGCCCTGCGTGATCTGTGTGAAGGTCGGGTGGAGGACAAAGGCAGCCTACCTTTCCACCCTCAGATACATGTGGCCAAGCCAGGGATCTCTGGCAGACTCTCTGGGCCGCCTGGTATTCTTTTACACAGAAGGCAGGCCCTACTGGAGGGAACCAGATGGGAGGCGTTGGCACTGGAGTGAGGTCAAGGCTGCCTTCAAAACATTGAGTGCTAAGAGCTGGAAGCCACAGGAGAATCAGGATCAACTGCGTTCAAAGCGGCATCTGTGAATAAAATTGGAGGAGATCTATGACTAGTGGGAGAAAAAGACCCCACAAGGTTCTTGCTGACCGTCTTTTTTTTTTTTTTTTTTTTGCGGTACGCGGGCCTCTCACTGCTGTGGCCTCTCCCGTTGCGGAGCACAGGCTCCGGACGCGCAGGCTCAGCGGCCATGGCTCACGGGCCCAGCCGCTCCGCGGCATGTGGGATCCTCCCGGACCGGGGCTCGAACCCGCGTCCCCTGCATCGGCAGGCGGACTCCCAACCACTGCGCCACCAGGGACGCCCTTGCTGACCTTCTTTCTCGGTAGATACAAATACAAATTTTGGGAACGTGGTAATGAGGATGCAAGTGTGACCACAGTGGGATGGTTGCCTTCATTACTCAGTCTTGATGGGCTCTCAAGGGTCTTACATCCATCAGGGCAGGAAGCTGGCTCCTATGGCGCCCTGGCTGAGTCATGATCATTGGTTGGAGTAGGAGCCCGCACACACCCCAGGCCTCTGGTTTTTCTCTTGCACCTTCCTGTGGGTCCCAGGAGAAGAGAGACACAAGCTCTCAACTGAAAAAGCTGCCTAAGGGTAGCTTTAGGGCTGGGGCTTTGCTGGCAGGTTTCCTGCTCTGAGCAGGAACTTACCAGCTCTATGTACTTGTAAGTTTAAATAGAACCAGTGACTCTGTCTTAACCTTCTGTCCTTGTCTTTTTTGTCCTGCCAGAGCCAGGTGGCCCATCTTTCACCATCGGCAAAGCTATTTGGTTACTGTGGGGTCTGGTGTTTAACAACTCCGTCCCGGTGCAGAACCCAAAGGGGACCACCTCCAAGATCATGGTGTCGGTGTGGGCCTTCTTTGCTGTCATCTTCCTGGCCAGCTACACTGCCAACTTAGCTGCCTTCATGATCCAAGAGGAGTATGTGGACCAGGTTTCCGGCCTGAGTGACAAAAAGGTAAGAGCACCATTTGAAACCTCCCATCTTTCCCCCGGTCCCATTCTCAGCCATACTCGGAGCTCTCACGGACCTGTTAATTTCCTAAACCTTTAGAATCGACTGTTCTTCCTTATGGCTCCTGAAATTGGGACACAGGAGCAGAATTCAGTTTCCCCACCGAAATAATATTACTTCACGTTCGCCTTCTCATTTGTGAAAGGTTGTCCCCAGCGCGCCCTGGGCCGCAAATGAGGGGCTTGGTGTGTAGCGGTTTTCTGCGTACAGGGTTCCTCTTGTCCGGGGCGCTCAGGAGGCCTAGCAGCAGCACCAGGCTGCACCTTTGGGCTGTTACTAGAGGGCCGCCCCGCGCACCCACGCTGAGGGTGCTGGCCCGTCACGGCCCTCATTTTCCTCCCCCTTTGTTCCTCTGCACGCTCGCGGGTTCCCAGGGTCGAGGAGAAGGATTGTTCTCATTGTGTCCTGAAGAAAGGTATCTGCTACTTAACTGGATCGGGGGGTGCCGATGAATGGGTTGTCCCCATACCAACCGCAGGCCTCCCTGCTGGCCTGTGCCGTGAAGAGAGGAAGGCAAGTAAGCGTCTGCTGGTTGCCATGTTCTCTGTGCGAGGATGTGTAAAACCCAGGCTCAGTACATGTGACTCTCTAGGTCTGCTGGAAGCAACACAGGTTCCGTGGGAGCTCTGGTCCAACCCCAGTACTAGCGGCTACCTTCCTGGAGTGCCCAGGAGAGCCCCTGGATACCCCAAATCACTCTGGAGACTTTCACTTACAATGTCTCCTCTTCTCCGTTTCCTTAAGATTTAGAAAATGTGATTTCCCACCCCTTCCCCCAGGATGAAACTATGTGATATAGACAGATGTGTGTTTAGACCACATAGGTCATATGTAGTTCATGCTTTATCACATGGGTCAGCTTTTCCCAAGACAAAGCCTTAATCACTGAGCAGATGGTTGGAGAAGAATGAAAAGGAGGAGATATTCTCTTTGGGGACTCAAGTTATGATTTCTCCATCTACTCATCACTACTCACCAAGGACATTCAAAAGCATAAGGAAGATAAACAGCTTCTTAAGGGAATGAAAAAAATATATATATATACACACACACACACACACATGCATGGAACACTCACGATGTTCACCTCTTTAGGTTGGCTCTTTCTTTGGTTTGTCTTCCTTTTCACTTTATTTTTCTTCCTTACTTTCAAAAGCATTCCCTCTCTTCTATTTCCTTCTCCCTTATCTTTAAGCTTTTTTTTTATTTCTTTTCTTCTAACTCATGATTTATTATGCATTTCTTCAGATATTCACCCATCTATTACTTAATTCACTTTAAACCTTTCTCTCTCTCCTTGTTCCTTTGTCAGCATCCTTCCTTTACCATTTTGATCCTCTCAGAAACTTTGAGCTAGACCTCTCCCTTCATCCCTTTCTATAACTAATTTTTGTGCCTATTTCTGTGACCTGGGCAGTCGTGGTGCTAAGAACAGCTGATCTCCCAGGCTCCGTACTTGGATGTGGCGGAGCTGAGGTGGGCCACGACCACCCTAAGACACGAATGTGGCAGAAGCGTGACAGACCATGCCCCCACGTGTGGATCTGTCAGGGGTACGGAGGACCATATCCTCCCATCAGGGAACGGCAGAGGTGTGGCGGATTATGTCCCCATGCAGGGTGTGGTGGGACCGTGTCACCATGCAGTGAATAACATGGTCGAAGGGTGGTGGGCCACAGCCCATCCGGGGACTCTGGACAGTTAAGTAGGGGATCCACCACAATTATCACAGTGTTTTCTTTCGTTTCCTCTGAGAATTGATTAGGACACTGTATTTATGTTTCTCATCCTCTCAAGGGCCATCCGGCAACAACTGAATGATTTTCTACTTGAACTAAGCATAATTGAGATGGAGGGAGATTGTTTTCCCTTCTGTGGTTTGGAAAGAACATATTGTTCTGGGCTGCTTGAACAGAGAGGCTCTGCCCCTTGTCTGTCCTCCACACCACGTTGGTTATGTCCTGAGAAGTTGGATCCCATCTTTGCTTAAAGAACTTGAGTGGCTCCATTGCTTACAGAATAAAGGCAACTTTTTTCAGGCGTGGCGCTCAGAGCTTTTACAAATGATTCCCAGTGTGCACCAGCAATTCCGTCTCATCAGCCAATGCGTAGACTCTTGCATCCTATGTTCTTGGCATCCTTGCCTCCTTATCCTTCCCAGCGATGCCTCTCTGCATCTGCCTGGGGTGTTCTTCTCCTTACTTCTTCACTCACCAAACTCCTACTGAAATTGCAAGACACAGATCAGAGGTCCCTTTATTTGTAAAGCCTTCTCATCTGGGCTCATCTGGGAAGTTAGCCATTGTCTCCTCTGTCGTGGCAATCATTCATACCTTTATTATAGCACTTGTCTCCCACATTGTAATCTACAGACGTGTACCTGTCCATATCTCCCCTTATTTGACCATGAGCTTCACAGGGTCAGTGACCATAACTTGGTTATCATTTTTACAAAAAGTCTGTAGGGAGAGAGGGAGAGATGGTATACTCATTTAAGAGTCTCTTGCACAGAGCAGTGGACTAGGCATTACAGGCAAAGAGAGCAGCAAGAGAGCAAGAAGTCTTTAACAGCTGTTCAGTTTGAAAATGATTATCTGATCCATTTCAGAACTCCGCAAATGACAAAATAGCATCTGACCAGAAAGTGTCAACATAATTTACAGAAGTATAGAAAACATTTAAGTAACCAATGACATACAACTGCAGATCAGTGTCAGGAACAGTTTTATAAGTCAGAGAGTTTTCTGAAAGTGCACTTAAAATGTCAAAATTCTTATCAATTTTACTTCAAAACACCTAAAGAAAACTAAGTCTTGAGAATGACTTACACGAGAGGAAGTATGTTCTGTGAATTTAGCAAAAGAAAATAATAAAGTCTTCAAAACGATAACACTGAGAACAGAAATGAGGTGATTTTGAAGACTCTTTTTTCAGTGTCATGAAATTTTCATCAAGGAAGGTAACATTTAAAGTGGAGAAGGGTTTCTATACTTGTTTTGACTATCACGGATGACATATCTTCTATGTAACTCAGACCAAATGATAAATATTTTGGAGGGATGATGGGGAGATATTTGTAGTCATTAGATTTAGATATTTTAAGGAATTATCTTCAATTTTATGGCAGGAAAATGTTCCCAGATCTCATTTATGTTAAGGTACAAAGTCAGAATGTTCAGAGTTAAATTTCCATGAAATCCTATTTGGGGGCTCCTTTTTTATTGGATGGCTTCCATCTTGCAATAGCACATTACATCATTGAATTCAGAATTATTCCACTACATGCTATAACTAAATATGGGTGCAAGTTCTAACATTTAGCAGCCCTACTGTACATTCCATCAGCTCTCCCAGTGGGAGGAGGATATAAGGAAGCTGGTGACATCTTTCTTCTCTTAACGAAGAGCCCACAATGCTCATTCTCATATTCTCAGCTATCCGGATGGATTTCTCATTTCGCAGTTGGCCAACCACAGTATAGAGGAGAGTTTGGCCAGGCGAACAGGAGACATATTTTCCGGGCACTGGATACATTAAGTATTTACATATATGTTATATGAATAATCTTCATCAGGTATGACTATTCCCATTTTACAAATAAGGGCACTGAGACTCTGGGAACTTTCGTGATTCCCTAAAGTCATACGTTATCAAGTGACAGAGCCAGGGTTTGAGTTCCTGTGTATTTGGCTTTAAAAGTCACTTTGCCAGGATGTCTCCTTGTAGTGAATCCCAGACAAAGTTATGACACAGCTAAGGATTGGTATTGACACCCCTGCACCCCACCCACTTCCTCATTGAATCTCCTATCCTCTCATTCAGTGACCTTCAGGTCACCATACACTACCACTGCCAAGACTGCTATTACTACCTCTACTACTAGTACTGATAATAATAATAGCAATTATCATTATTATTAATATGACTTCAACACTGATATCTCTGCAAACATTTTTTTCAGCTCTCGGGAGCCAGGCGTAATGCCAAATACATTACATAGATTTCTTATGTAATGGTGCTTTTATAATCATACCTTCATTTGTAGATGAGGAACTTGAAGCTTGGAGAGGTTAAGTCATTTGCCCTTCTGATGTTCCTGGCTGGCCAACAGCCCCTCAGCCGTGTGCCACCGTGTTCAGATTCCAGTGTTCTTTCCAGTTGATCCTCTTTCTTCCTGACCTTCCCATCTACCTTCCCGAAGCTTAACAAGTGGGATCCTTTTCCTCTATTAAAGAGGAGCTATCTGATTAACTGATCCAAAATAATTAGATAGTATTTTAACATTTGCCCCTTATTTAATAAGTCTTTCAGAGGCATTCCTTTGAACAGAGAATGGTGGTGCTTTCGTGGACCTGGGCAGGCTAATGGCCCACAGATGGACTTTAGCCTGGGCCTATTGTGACCATGAGCTTTAAGCCACTGTTGGAGGGTGGCAGAGGGGTGGCAGCAGGACAGAGAAGCGTCAGTGGTAGGTTCAGGGGGTGAAGGAAGCCTGCAGGGAGGCAGAGGCTGCCAAGGTCACTAGGGGCTGCCGTCAGGCCAGGGTGCTCCCAAGGCTGCGTCCTACCTTACACATTCCTGCCACCAGTGTGACATACGCCCGCATTGTATTTTGCTGTTCTTTTCCTCAAGGAACTACAGGAACTTTATGAACTTTAAATGTCAAAAGGTGTTTATCTGGTTAATGAGGGCAGACATCTTCGCCTGCAACATTGAAGGTGCAATCAGGATAGCTTTCTAAAAACTAAGGAAGAACCCCGTGGCTTTTCTAGATAATGATTATTCTGAGTTTCTGAGAAGTTCCATAGAGTCTGGAAGCTGTCTCATGTCCTTCTGGCAGATAGGCAGTGTATGACTTTTTAAATCAGCACGCAAACAAATGTGTCAGTGTGCATCCTGGAAGAAAGCCAGCCTGGGGATAAGGTATTTACGCCACAACTACA